GGGCGTGATGGTCGCACCAGCTCTGCTCCTTTGGCCAAGTTCCTGAGCCTCTGGGACCCTCAGTCTCTTCATCTGTAAGAGATCATGGCAGCCACCTGGAAGAGGCGTCTTGACGGTTACAGGGCCTCCTGTGGGGGAGGGTCCATTGCTGCCCGGCACTCCCCAAAAGCCCGAGAGATCACAGCTCTTCTTGTGAGAAACCCAGGCCTTCATTGGGGTCTGTGTCCCGCCCACCCCCTGTTCTGTTGGCTTCCTGGTTTGCACGGAGCTGCTGTCTGAGGTCACGTCCGCAGGGGACTTGTCGGCTGGCTCCGTCCTGTCTTGAACTCAACACGTTCACGTCGGAATCCTCCTCGTGTGGCCCTGTCTCAACAGAGGCATCAAGGTGCCCAGGCCGGACGCCCAGGGTCTCTCTGGTCTCCTCCACTGCTGTCCCCCGGGTCCCGCCCACCAAGCCAGGCCTCTCGACCTGCTGGGCTCCCTCCTCCTTGTCCCCTCTGCTCGAGGCCCCAGTGCCCTTGCTCGATGCCCTGTGTTTCGTCGTCTGTGCCCTCGGTGGCCCGGCCCCTTTTCTGTGTAGATAAAAGGGCTTCCTTGCCCACAACTCCTCAAGGAAACCCTTACCCAGCCAAATGCCTTCCGTGGCAGGCAAGGGCCTCCTTGACATGACCCCTGCTGACCCCGCTGGCCCCCGCTGGCCTGCTGGGGTTCCGGCCAGCCATGAGGAATGGCCGTCCACGCCCTGGCTCCCCCACCGGCCCCCCAGCGTCCGTGCCTCTGTCCCCAGCACCCCATTGCACAGAGTGCCCCCGAGGCCGTCACCCATCTGGGAGGACCCTTGTGACCCCACAGGGAGAGTCCATCCTGTGTCCTCGCCGTCTGGTGACACCGTGTGGCTCTTTGCTGACTTTCGCCAAACCACAGCCTCCTGAGACCCCGTGTCTCCCTAACCGTGGGGCCCCCGTGTTTTTCCTGCCGCAAGGACAAGAGGGAGGTGACATTTCCCCAGCAGCATAGCCTGATGAGCAGTGCCATGTCTGTGCCCAGGATCCGAACCGGCGAAACCCTGCGCGAACCTAACCACTCAGCCACAAGGCCGGCCCCCCTCTTTATTTTCTTTTTAGCGGTCGCCGCCCCATGGCACGCTGTGGGTCTCTTTCCTTCTTTGAGCTCTCTCTCCTGACCTGCATGGAAGGTCCCCGAGCACGGGGCCTTGGCTCTGTCCCCTGCCACAACCCTGCGTCTACAACAGCACCCACCACATCAGCGTTCGCCATCGGACGGAGGAACCGGTGTCCTCAGCGCGCTGCCACTCAGGGTACGGATCAGGGACTGCGCTGGTCCTGAGATAAGTGTAGGCACTGAGAACAAGCACCTGGGAACTGTTGTGGCCACGTGCACAACCTCCAGGCACGGTGGACGACAGGCCAGTTTGGGGTGTCAAAGTCACAGAGCGAGTCCCAGGTGACGCCAGCTGTGGAGTGGTCCTGCGAAGTGGGCCCACACATCAGTCCACGGCAGATTGAAGCAAAAGCCACAAACCAGTCTTTCCCCACAGATCATCTGAGAATCTCAGCTCTGGAGCGCATCTAGAGCCTGGCGCACAGTCGGTGCTCAAGAAGTGTTTGTTGAATGACTAAACAATGGGAAATGGTCACTGCTGCTGTGGTGTCAAAGGAAGCCGTGATATTGTGATTTATAATAAGGTCTTCACCCTGTTTCTGGCACAGAGCTCCTAAAACCATTCCTTAACCTGTGGGATCTTATGCCAACTCCGGGCAGACAAGGTCAGAACTGAGTTGAACTGCAGGACCCCCGGCTGGCGTGGGAGCATTGCTGGGCGGTGAAGGGGAAACCCCCCACGTACACATTGGAATTGGATGCAAAGTCCACACAGGTGCAGCCTTGGGGTCTCTATTTCCGAGAAGGGACCAGAGGCTCCGACACCAGAGCAGGGGAGATGGTCCCAACTCCCCAACCCCCTGACCTCAGGGGAGGACGGGGGCCCGTCCGACTCTGGCAGGTGAGAGCTCCGTTACTGGTTCCCCACAAGGGCCTTCATTCCCAACGTCCCCTTCAGGGGGTCCTCACCCCCCACAGTCTCCGTCTGGGGCTCCACGGGCCACGCTTGGGGGGTAGGCCTGGTGTGGCCCTGACCCACAGGCCTTGCACTTGCTCCTGGGGGCACTGGAGCCGGACCCTCCCACAGTCCTGGGCTCAAAAAGTGGGGCTCAGACCGCAGTCCCCCCATCCTCCCACTGCCCCTATTTCAGGCCGAGTCTTCACCTCCAAGGGTCAGCCGGGCCCGACCTGGGACACAGTGGGCTTTGTGCAAAGGTGGTGGCAGCTGGCTGGGCTCCCCGCAAAGGGACCTGTCCAGCCTCGTCTCACTGTCTGGGACCTCGGAGGGGCTGTCACCACCCCCGCTTCCCCCAGCCCTGCCCCACACCGCGGCCTGCAGGAGGCTGGACTCCGCTCTCCTGGCCCCGCGGCCCCCTTGGAAGGTCCCCGGACCTACGGAGGCCACAGGAAGAACCCCAACAGGCCCGTGGGGGGCGGGGCTGACAGAAGGGCTGCCCCCAGCACAGGCCTGCCCGTCCCCTGGGCCGAGTCTCATTCCTGAGGGTCAGCACACTGTGACCCGCTGGGAGGGGGCATTCTCCCCTATCTGTTAACTCTCTAGGGCACGTTGGATCTGGCTGCGGGAGAGGGAACCCTGGCTAGGTGGGGAGGGGCTCCTCAATCACCCCTCCAGCTCGGGGGGCCCCCCAGCAGGTACTGGGGGCGGGCTGGCCAGGTCCCGCCGTCCTAGAGACTTTGAGGGGCCAGCGACGTGTTCCCCCTGGATTCATCCCTCCTCCGTCCCCGAGGCAGAGGGGTGATTGAGGAGAGGTTTGCGGTCCAGCCCAGACCCGTGTTTGCGAAGCCTGAACACATCACGCGGAGGAAGCGGTTGAAGCAAGAGGGCTGGCTCCCCAGCAGCCCAGATGTGCACCCCGCAGTCAATCCACACAGCGCCCCAAGACATGCAGGTTCTGGGGTAGGCCCGGGGACCCCCAAGAAAGCAGGGTCCTGCCTTGCCCAGGATGCCTGCATCCTAAGGACTTCTGCATCCCAAACTTCGATGGAGACAGTGGAGCGTGGGCCCGAGGGACCACAGGACTGGAACAACGTGGCCTCGCCCAGCGTGGACAGAGGACCTACATGGCTGCTTGTCCAGGCCATGCTGTCTCTGGGGGAGTTGTGGGAAAGCATAGGGCTTTCCAGCCAGATGAATCTGCCTCCATGCTGGACCTCGCTGGCAGCTTCCTGGAGTCTCTGAGCCTCAGTTACCCCATCTGTGCACAAGGGACCACAATAACCACCCTTTTGGGACTGTGACATGGATGAGAGCCCTGAGACCAGGGCCAGGACATGTGCCAGGGCACATGGGGCGACCGAGGGCACCCAGAATCTCCCCAGCCCAGCGGGATGGGGCGCAGGGTCCAGGCCAAGTTGGCTGCTAGGAAAAATGACGATGCTCCTGCAGCCTCTCCGCGGTGGACGAGTCTCACCCCGCTCCCCGATGTTCCCTGCTTCACGGAGGAGGAAAGCAGGACAGAGGGGCAGCGAGGCGCCGGGGCGCAGAGGCCCTGTTCCACCTTCAGGAAGCCGCCTGATGTCCTGTGGCTGCACCGTCCACGACGTCCAGGCCCCGGCATCCGTCTCAGTCACCTCCTCAGCCCCCGGGTTTGGAGGATGACGGAGATGAGTTGGGGAGGGGCTGTCACCCCACAGACATGATCCACATGGGCTCTCCTTCCTCCTTCCTGCCCTGCTGCTCTTCCTGCCCCCCCCCCCCCCAGATCCAGGTTCCCCCAGGTCCAGGCGGGTAGACCAGCCAGGGCTTCCTAGACAAGGGAGACAGCGGAGCTGAGAGCACAGGAGGAGTCCATGCATGCGGGGCTGAGGGAAGGCAGGTGCCTGGCCTGGCAGAGGCTGGGAGGCCAGCACTGTCTCGGGTGATCGTGATAATAATACTGAGGTCCTTAAGCACCCACTTAGGTACCAGGCCCTACTCTAGCCAACACATGCATTTACTCCTCAAGGAACACTCTGAGGGGCTCCTCTTTCCCTCATTTTACAAAGGAGGAAACTGAAACACAGAGAGGTTAAGTAATTTCTCCAGGATCACACAGCTGCTAAGCGTCAGAGCCATCCCGAGAATCCAGACAGTTTAACTCCAGGCTCCGTGGTCTTAACCACCATCCATAGTATGAGAAAGGGCAGACCGGGGACATCTGGGAGGGTTTGTCGGTTCCTGCCCCACCTCCAGACCCACCATGCCCCGCACCTCCCCAGGCCTGGGCTCAGTGATTGCTGGGAAGGCAGAGAAGGAGAGGAATGAATATTTCTTGAGCAACTCTCATGTACCAGGCGGGACGTGAAGTGGTTGCTCTCATCCATGTCACAGTCCCAAAAGGGTGGTTATTGTGGTCCCTTGTGCACAGATGGGGTAACTGAGGCTCAGAGACTCCAGGAAGCTGCCAGCGAGGTCCAGCATGGAGGCAGATTCATCTGGCTGGAAAGCCCTGTGCTTTCCCACGACTCCCCCAGAGACAGCATGGCCTGGACAAGCAGCCAGCTTTCTTCACAGGCTCCTTCATTCACCATCTCGTGTCTGTAGGCCCTGGCCCTGGTGGGAGGGGTGCGGACTTGGGGGTCCCCAGAAGGGCAGCCGAGTCCCCAAGGTGGGAGAGGGCAGGCTCTGAGCGGGGCCCAAAGCCAGGCTTTCTTGTCATTTTGCCCGCAGGCCCCGGATCTCTGAAGGGCAAGGCCAGGGCTGGGGTCCTTCTGAGCCCCAAGCCTCCCCAGATGCCCATGTGGAGCAGGCAGCTGACTGCAGAGGGCAGCGGGTGCATTCCAGACCCTATAAAAACACAGCCGCCCTGGATGCCAGGGGCTCGGGCTGCAGCCGCGTGGACGACTGTGCAGCAACCCGAACCCCAGGCATGTACGGGGGGCGGGCCGAGGCTGCTGACTCTGGAGGGCGGGCGCCGCTCCAGCCCAGGAGGGGCCCAGAGGCCGCCCGCCCCACCCCGGGCTGCACGCAAGGCCAACTTGACCGGGGTTCCCCAAAAATCATCCAGAACGTGGAAATCGGCAAAGGGAGAGTGCCATGTCCTATAATGTTTTGTGGCAGTATTTGATAACCGGCCTGGCCAAGGATGACCTCAGTATCTGGAGCAGGGTTTCTCGACCGAGCCCTGTTCGTATTTCGGGATAATTCTTTGTTGGCGGGAGGGGGGCTGCCCTGTGCCCTGCAGGATGTTTAGCAGCATCCCTGGACCCAACCCACTAGATGCCCATTTCCAGATGTTGCCAAGTGTCCCTCCCACCCCGGGATCCACGGACTCAGAGGATGTGCCTTTGTCTAACTCTGGCTGTTCTGTCGAGAGGCAACGATTTCTGCCAGACAGAGAAGATGAGCCCGGCAGCCACGGTTTTGCTGCCTGGAGGACGTCCGCCAGCCTGGCATCTGACCCGCGCCCTGGTCCCTGTGGCTTCCCCCCATAGTCCATACCCTGCTCCTCTAACGGCTCTGAACCAGCTTTACCCTCCTTCTTATTCTCGTACGAGTTGAATTAATCTTTGACAGTGCTCCTTCTATACATGAGTCGTGTTGTCACTTCTTGAAAACCGTACTTTGACCCAGAATTGCTCTGAGGATGAAGGGAGATAATGTAGCCAAGCCATCAATTTCTAGCTTGTGCCCGATAATTCGCAACTCTGATCATTGATGTTGCTTTTCCACGGGGGTCCGCTCAGGCTGGCCAAGGGGATGGTCTCCCGTAATTTAATCACGGGGTGCCCCTGGGAGCGGGGTTCCTGCAGACCGCAGGGAGCACGTGGGACTTCAAGGGGCAGAGCTGGCTTTGGGGGGTCTCGGTCTGGGCTGGGAACAGGGGCTCTGGGTTCTGGTCTTGGCTTCCAGCTGCCCTTGGACATCTCGCTGCCCTCTTGGTGGTCCGGGTGGTGGCTTGGTGTCTATTCCATCCTCCTGCTTCTTTGACAAACAGTGCCCCTTTGTGACCTGCGTCCCCCAGCCTCCCTCTGCTGGGAGAATTCTGGGGTGGGCTGGGTTGGGCACAGGCCCTCCACGTCTATGGCAGGCTGCTCTCTTGGGTGAGGGAGCCCAGCCAAGGGGCCGGGGCTGGATGCCCTGAGTGTTTCTTCTGGCCTGGGCAGGCAGCACCTCACAGTCAGGAGAAAGCAGGATGGCAGGGAGGGACTGGGGACGTGCTCTCCTGGGCTCCCTGCCTCCCTCCCATACCGCTCCGGTGCCCCCTGACCACCCCACCCCAGCCAGGCTGCCATCACCCAACATGAGGAAAGTGCTGTCACCAAACATTCAGACTAGCAAATCCACCTGCCCAGTGGACACGGGCACCTGGATCTCGACATGCCTGAAGTCCCTCCTCCACTCAGCCTGCTCCTCCCCCAGTGCTGCCCGTCTTGGTAAGTGACACCACCATCTGCTCTGTCACCACCCCTGAAACCCCAGTGTCATCCTTCCTTCTTCTGCCCTCCCCCATGCCTCCGTCCCCATATCCATCCGTCATGGAGTCCCGTAGATCCTAAATATCCTCCGATGTCATCTTCCCGTCCATCTCCACCGTCACCAGTACTTGGATCGTCTCTCCCATTTCCTGCTGGGATGACTTCAGTGGCCTCCCCACCCCACCCCAGTCCACACTCCACACAGTGGCCTCAAATTTTCCTAAATCCCCAACTCATCCCTCTGTCTCTTCCCCCTGCCCTTTGCTCACGGGGCACCCTCGGCCTGGAACCCTCTCCCGTCCGGCTTCTGGAACCTTTCCTTCACACCGAATCCCTGATCAGGACCTGCTGCAGAACTGGGGGGCCTGGTGCAAAACGAAAATGCCTTGTTCAAAGCGTAGGAAAGAAGTGCCGTTAAAGGAACTAAAGTAAAAAGCGTCTGCCGTCCCTCTCTGGTCTCCTTTCCAGCCTACGGTGGTGGTTTTTTAATGCCTATGTTATGCTGTGTGGGGCAGGTGCAGACGCCCACAGGCACCTCCCTCTGTGACCCAGGGCCTGCGCCGCCCACCAGCTGCCAGGTCCCCACACCACCATCCGGCAGCCAGACCTCCTGTGTCCCAGCCGGAGGTGGGACGTGGAGCCAGCATCTCCCTTCTCACAGGCCGGCTGCCTCCACCCAAGCTGGACAGACAACACCCAGGGCACTGCAGCCTCGGCCCAGGAGGCACGAAGTACCTGGATGGGGTGTGGGCCGCAGGCTCGGCCTGCAGTTGCCCACTGAAGGGACTGCGGTAGTGTCAGCCCAGGGTGGGGACAGCCGCTGCCACACCCTGTCCTTAGACACCAAAGAGCCCAGGGCACCGGGGGGCGAGGGGTGGAGCTGAGAGTCTGTCCTCGGAGGCGGGGAGGTGACGGGAGGTGGCAGGATGTGGGACCACATGCGAGCCAGGGCTCAGAGCTCCTGGTGCATGTGCCATTGTCCCAGTGGATGTCACTTACAAAACGAGTTCAAGGACGAAACCACTCAAAACATCGGTACTGCGACCACAGGGCATTAAACCGTGGGCCCCTGGGGAGCTGCACCCGTCCTCATCCTCAGCTCTCAAGTCACTCCTCCCGTCCCCAGGGAAGCTCCCCGGCCCCAAGCCCAAGCCTGGCCAGGTTCTCCTCCAGCACAACCTCCACCCTGCACGCTCCCCATTCCATTCAACTACCTGGTTCCTTGTAACGACTTATTTAATTGGTTTAATTAATTAAGTTCTGTGAAAACGGGGACCATGTCTCTATGGTTCCCAATTATACCCCCAGTATGTGCCAGGGGTAGAAAGGGCACTCAACAAATATTTGTTAAACGAATGAGAAAGTGAGTGAAGACCTGGTCCTTGGTCCCTTCTTAAAAGCTCTGGGTTGGGGCTGGCCCAGTGGTGCAGCGGTTAAGTTCGCACGTTCCACTTCGGCGGCCCGGGGTTCACCAGTTTGGATCCTGGGTGTGGACATGGCACCACTTGGCAATAAGCCATGCTGTGGCAGGCGTCCCACATATAAAGTAGAGGCAGATGGGCACGGATGTTAGCTCAGGGCCAGTCTTCCTCAGCAAAAAGAGGAGGATTGGCAGCAGATGTTAGCTCAGGGCTAATCTTCCTCCAAAAAAAAAAAAAATCTCCGGGTTATTTTGGATGACTGGGAGGTCCCCAGCCTTTCTGGGATTCCTACAAAGCAGGTAGTCGGGCAAGCGGGAGAGAAGTATCTGGCCTCTCTCCTCGGGCTCTAAGTCCTCTCATTTCTCCTGCTGGCTTTGTGGACATGAACAAGTAACTGAGCAGCACAGTGAGGAGGCCTCAGCCGGCTGTGTGACCTTGAGTATCGCTTGCCCTCTCTGGGCTTCACAGGAAAGCATCCCTCACTGACCAGTAATGGCCCACCCAGCTCTGACATTCGCTGCTTTGGGAAGGTCTCCAGGGGAGTCATCCTCCCATCCCTGTGAGCTCAGAGCACACGGAGGCTCTGTAACTCCAGCCCCCAGGCTGAAGAGGAACCACAGGACCATTTGAAACATCCAGCGTGGCCGTTTTGTTTCAAGAGGGAGACGCCGCACCCACTAAGGTGGAATTCAATACCCTCCAGGAGGGCGGAGCTTCTTTTGAAAGTGGTCCCCTTCTCTCGGAGATAAAATATGAAAGGCTGCAGGGCAGGGGGCCCTGAGCCTGCCTGGTGGAGGCCCGGGCTCCAGAATCACCTGCCCGCCAGCCTCTGCGCCAGCCCTGCCCATGTCCGACCCTCTCCTTCCACGTTCCACAGCTCAGAGATTTTTCCATGTCCAGCCAAGCTCACACTTAGACGCCCAGCTTCTCGCCCGCAACTCAAGACGGATTCCCATGGAAACCAGCAAAAACGAGAGGCGGAGAGAAACCCCTCGCTCCCAGGCCCTGGGCACCCGCTCAGCGGCTGTCCCCTCCCACGCCGGCAGCGCCAGTGCAGGAGAAAGCCTGCTGGCACGGCGGGTCCCTTGTCCTGTTCCCTGGGGATGCTGCACAGCAAATGCCCCAGACCACTGTTCCGGGGGCTTCCCCAGCACATCGGAGACCCGGGCAGGTCTGACAGCCAGGGAGGTCCGAGTCTGAGACCCTAGGGAAGACCTGTGTGTGGGTGACCCCGGGCAAGGTCTCTGAGCCTCAGTTTCCTTGTCTTACGATGGCTCTAACAACGTTACTGACTTCACAGGGGTAGTTACGGGGGTTAAAAAAGACGGCACCCTAAAACATTTAGCACAGAAGCCGGCATCTAACAGCGCTTCCTAACCGTTAAGCATTTTTGTTATCATCCAGCTCTTGGGTACGTAAGTCCTTTAACCTCCAAATCTCCTGTTCCTTATCCACAAAAGAGAGAGATGGGAGGAGGAAGGACCTGACTCTGGAAACCCCCTCCAGCTTGGCATTTTGTGGTTCTGCGTTCATGTTAGCTGGGATGGGGCAGAGGAGGAGGTACAGAACTCCAACCGTGTCCTTCTGGGATCCTGAGACCAGACCACCCCACTGCCACCCCAGGAAGCAGGCTGGACGGAAGCATGGGGACTCTGGATTACACCCGGGGAGGGGAGCCGGCCACCACCGCTCACCAGCCGGCCTTACTAAGCCTCAGCATCCGCATCTGTCAAATGGGACTGCTCCACGGACGGGGTTTTTGTGAGGACTACGGGAGCTGATGCTTGTAAGGTGCCCGGGCACAGAGAGATCTCAAGCAGTGCCAGCTGGTGACACGGCGGGATCCAGAAGAAGCAGGCCCACCCTGCAAAGCTGTCGAGCTGCCCAGCCGGCCCTGCAGGTGGTTGGGAGGGCGGGGTCTGCATCCTCCGGATGGAAGCTCCTGCATCACTCACCAGCAGGCGGTCCATGAAGGGGGTCTCTGTCTTACCAGGTCCCCATCTTACCAGGCCGAGGTTCAGAGTGTTGTTGTCATCCTCCGGCATGGGCAAGTACACGGCCAAGGCCACGCAGTTGGCAAAGATGGTGAGTAAGATGATGGTCTCGAAGGGTCTGGGGCCAGGGTTAAGGAGCGCGTGGGATTTGCAGGGTTAAGGGGAAGAGAGCGCTGGGGGTCAGTCTGGACTGTGACTGTGATGCCGGGCCAACGGGCCCCCTCCCTACTGTCCTGCAGGGGACAGAAAGGGCCGGGCTCCCTCTCCTCAGGAACAGGTGACTTCCACCGTAGATACTTTGGGACCAGGAAGCTCTGGTCCCCCGCCGAGGGCTACTCAGCTTTAAGGGCCAGAAAGTCTTAACTAACGGTCCACTTTAAGGCCTGCCCGCCAACCCCACTGCCACCTGCACCCTCCCGAGGAGCCAGGACTTTGTGAGGTTCTGGCCAGACAACCTGCGTCTCACTCAGAGAAATGACAAGGGAGGCTGTGGGCTGGTGCAGGTAGGGCCAGGTACCCACAGAGCGGGCCTGGGAGAGGGGGAAGGTGGAGAGATGGAGCCTGCATCTCCGAGCCCGAGGAGGGACTGGGCGACCCACCGAATCAGCACCCACTCACAGCCCCCTCCCTGACCCACCCACCCCTCCACGGTCATATCCAGAGGGTGCCCCCAGGTCCAGTCCTTCTTGATCTGCTGGTGAGCAGGACGGGCGGGCCGACCAGAGAGGCTGACCCACTGGGAAGCCGGTGTGGAAGAAGCAGAGGAAAGGAAGGGAGGAGAGTGTGCGTGGTGTGGGAGGGTGGGGGGAGGCAGGCCGTGTAGACGGCAAACCCCATTCCTTTCCCAGCAACCTCCAGTCTCTGAGAAGAGGGGCGGCCACAGGGAGACGCTGCAAGAGGAGAAGGCACAGAGGAGCAGAGACGGAGGAGAGAACCCACCGTGGTGGGGACTGACCCCACGGGAGCCAGGCAGGGGGCGGCAGCGGGACTTCCCACAGGCTGGGCTGAGAGCAGCTTGGGGAGCAGGGCGGACTCTGACCCAGACGGTTGCAACCTCGTCGCACGTGTTCCTGGCCCCTTGTTCTTCTTGTCCTCCCCATACGTTTCCCATACTCACCCCATGCTCTCCTTTCTTCTAGGGAACAGCTGCTGGGAGCCCGGTCTTCCAGAACGCTTCCGAAATATTTCAACTATTTCCACCCTCTCTCTCAGAACCCACTTGACGTGGGCCTCCCCACCTCCCTCTAGCTCCTTTCTCCTTCCCCAAATAACCCAGATATTTTCATCATTCTTCCCCCCAGAGCTAATGCAGACGGAGAGGGAGTCCAAGCCGCTGGCCCCAGCCTGGTGCCATTGAGCTGAAAGCCCAGGGCCGCACCAGGGAGCCCTCCTGGCCAGCTTCTTCAGCCTCTTTCTCCTCCATCTCCATCCCCAGTTGGGATTTGCCCCGGGGGGACGAGGGGAAGCCTTCCCCGGCTCACGATGGGGAATTTTCTTGCAAAGACCCCTCCTTTTTTCTCCCCCACCCCATATTAAAATGACTCTCCTGCTTCAAAACCCGAGAGGCGCCCACCATAATGTGGATTTGGACATGGCTGGGAACAGCCCCGTGAAACAGCCTGGCCTCTTCCATAGATGGTCAGCAGGCACCTGGGGCTGTCACCAGGACTTGGGTCACACGCTTAGGCTCCAGAAGCCCCACGGGTCCCCTTCCATGGAGGGCTTCCTCCCCAGAGGCTCCTCACGCTGTTGTGTGGCAGTTCACGCATCTCTGTGCCCCCCACTGCCTCCCTCTGCCACGTGACCCATGCTTGCCCCGCTGCCCCGGGCCCTAAAGGATACTTCCATTCCACGATGTTGATGCAGGCCTTCCTCAGAGGGTTCTGGAGGGTCAAGCAGAACAAGGCCCGGGGCGGCCTCGGCAGAATCTCTGGGACCGGCTTCTTGGGCGGTTTCTTCCTCTGGCCCTCATCCTGGGGTGAGGACGGCTCCATGTCTTCCCTGGCAGCCTCGCTCTCCCGGCTCCCCCACCCCACTGCCCTCTCCTCCCTGCGTCCCCAATGCCCCCGCCTTGTGGACTGGCCGGCTGAGCCCGCTGGCCGAGCCTGCCCTGCTGAGCCAGCGGGGGTGGGGACCGGAGGACTCCTCTCCCTGCGCCCAGCGAGTAAAATTACCCTCCCCTCGTCTCCCTTTGGCCAGCCTGAGTGCCTGAGGCCAGGCAGCTGTCATTCCTGCCCAGCCCAGCCAGTGACATCCCAATATGTCCCCCGTGTGGGGGGTGGGGAGGAACACACACACAGGCCTAGGATGGGGCGCCAATGGGGCAGGGGGAGACAAAATGGGTGGCTGCAAGGCTGAGGGGATAGAGTTCGGGGGGTGGGGGGCAACCCATGATAGGAGCCTCAAACTTCAGACCGGCTCCCCCATGCCAAGCTGATTTTCTCCTCCCTGCTCAGTGACACTATTCCAGGACAGGTGCCAGGTGGCCCAGCTCGGCACAACTCCAAGGGCGCCCCATCTCAGGACCTGCAGCCATGGGGTGTAGCCTCCTCCTCTCCCCGCTTCCCGCCCGCCCCCGCCCCCGCCCCCAGCCCCCAGCCCCGTGCACACCCATGTCAAGGGAAGCTCACCCCTCCCCACGGCGTGGAGACCTCGAAGAAACCGGAAGTGCACACCTCGGCGGCACCGGCCACACTGGGTGGTAACTGTGTGCGGTGTGCCTAACTGCGCAGGGTGTGGTGTGTCTCAGGGCCTTTCCCCGCGCTGTCCCTGGCACACAGGCGTGAGCTCACGGGACACCCCCCACACCCGCAGCACGTGCTCCGAGAAGGGAGTGGGGACGAGAAGGAGCGCGGGGTAGGCGAGGAAAGCAGACCATGCAGGGATCACAAAACTCAGCAATCTTTTATTCACCCCTTGGTGCAAACACAGCGCAGAACACACCCCTCTGGTCCCGCCGCCCACAGAGGCTCCAGTTTGAGCAGGAAAAAAACAAGGAAAAGGCCACCCTGGGAGTCGGGGAGCGGATGATCGCCCTCCATCAAGGCAGCCGGAGAGCGCCGCCGGGGCGCACGTGCGGCCTCTTCCTCGGTCTGTCGGTTCCATCCGGGCTGAGGACGAGCAGCAGCCCGGCCTCCCCCCTCCGGCTCTGGGCTCCTCTCCCGGGGGCGGGGCGGGAAGCTCCCGAGGGGATCCTGGCCTCGTGAGGCCACCTGGTGGAGAGCCGGGGATGGCGGGTTCGAACCGAAGCGCGGCTCGCCTCCTGGGGCCTCGCAGACGCAGGGCCCCCGCGGCCGGCTGTGCACAACCAGGAGCCGGGCTCCCACTTGCCCAGCGAGGGGCTGAAGCAGAGCCGGAGCCAGACCCACGGACGACCGTCCCCGGTCGCCCTCCTGCGGCCTGGAGGGGGCGCGGCGCGCGTCCGGAGCTTCCCCGGGCCCTGCGCCCTCACCGCGCTCTCGGGTCTCTATTGCGCCCCTCGTACTCTGCCCTGCACCCTCGTCCCCAAGCGGGAAGGAAGGAGGCGGTGGTGGCGGTGGGGAAGGGAGGGTGTCGCCGCGGATCTCCAAGTGTCAGGGCCCCGCCACACGCGGGTGACCCTGAGCCCCCAAGCTGCTGTGGGGAGCGGGACGCCCCGAGGACCCCTGAGCCCCGGGCGGCCACGGCCAGGTCAGTGGCTGGCTTCTTCCGACTCGAACTGCGGCGAGGAGGAGAAGCGGGAGGCCTGGGACGCCTCGGGCGCCAGGGCCGGGGGCGCGTCGCCGGGGCGGTGGGGCCGGGCGCCGGCGGGGGGCGCGCCGTCGGGGGCGGCGCTCAGCAGCTCCTGCAGGTGCTTGATGTAGCGGATGGCGGCGCGCAGCGTCTCCACCTTGCTGAGCCGCTTCTCGGCCAGCGCGCCCGGGAGGTGGCCGCGGAGGCGCGCGTAGCCCTCGTTCACGCACTTGACCCGCTGCCGCTCGCGCTCGTTGCGCTTCTGGATGAAGGCGGGCTCGAAGGGGCAGTCGTAGACGCCGAAGGCGCCGGGGAAGGGCGCGTAGGGGAACACGCCCGCGTAGGCCTCGTAGAAGGGCGGCTCGGCCGCGCCTGGGTACAGCAGGAGGGGTACGCTGCCCAGGGGCTCGGCGGGCGGCAGGGGCGCCTGCCGTCCAGGGGGCGCGACGCCCAGCTGCATGCAGCCGGGGGCCGCCATGGGCCGCCGGTCCACCAGGGCCCGGCAGAAGTTATTGCTCATGGTGCCGCGCGCGGTGGGCCCGGAGCCAGGCCCTCCCCGAATCGCCGCTGCTTGGGGTCTGCGGGGTCCTGCCCACGCGCACGGGTCACATCGCCAGCAGCAGCTCTGGGCTACCCGGACTTGCTAGGGCTTCTTTTCGCTCTTTGGGGTGGCTTCTGCGGTCTCCCTAACGCCAGCCATCACTCCGGACTCGTGTGGCCCCTTGCAACGGGCACCCACTCAAATCCAGGCGGTGGCGCCCAGAACTCCGGGGCCCTGGCGCTGCTCCGCACCCGCCTCCTCGGGCAGCCCGGCGCGGGCGCCCCACACCAGCGCTAACCCTGCGGATCGGTTCTGGGCCCCCGCGCCCAGTTGATTCCTGTTCCTCGTGGCCTTGGGGATCCCTGGGCTGCCCGGGGGCCGGGAGTGATGGCCGCTGTTCAGAGTGTGCCAGCTCAGCAGAGGAGTCCCGGGAAACGTTTCTGAAGAAGAGGAAAGCGAACATATTAGGAAGGCCTCGTATTGTGGGCTCCTTTGTGCACCCCCTCCCCCCACCCTCAAGGGGGATGCAAGCATCACGAGCGGAGGCGCCGGGGCTGCTGAAGCGGATGCGCAGAGCCGGGTTCAAATCCTGGGCTCACCCGTAATGGGTGGGTGACCTCTCTGAGTCATGGTTCCCATATACAGAGATAATCAAAACATCCCTCACAGGAGATTAATAATAAATGAGAATCAAATGACAACATCCGAAAACCCCTCCTGGGCCTGGATTATGAAAAGTGCCCCATGATGCCATTTCCTTTGAGAGGGGGTCAAGTCTCATGGCAGACACCTTCCAAGACCTTGCCTCTAAAGGGCTCGGAGACAGCGTGTTGAGTCAGCCGTAAAAATCCCGGTGGCAACCACAGATCCACCGCGGGGTCTGGCTCTTTATCGAAAGAAGTACGTCTTTGATTTGGAGAAATGGGGGTGTTTTGGGGACTTCCAAAGGCATCTGCCTGGTGGAGAGGCGGTCACCAATCCTCGCACGCCCCAGTCCACGTGGGCCCAGGACACACCCTCTCACATCCTCCTGGGTTTCTCCTGGTGACCTCCGTGTGCCCAGAGTCCCGCCCAGCTCCTGGGATGTCACAGATGCTGCACGAATACTTGTCGAATAACTGAGAGGGAGGGAGGCAGGAAGTCAGGCTTGTCAGGGTGGGGCTGACCTACACACAGCCTTTCGCAGACTCTGGGAAGCTGCTATTGTAGAAATAATGGGCCCGTGTTGAATTTGAGTGAAACCAACGCTCACCGCATGTGGTTATCAGAATCAACTCACATGCCATTTCCTCTGGGAGCTCTCCCTGAGCCCACTGCACGCTCTTTCTTGTGTGTCCACAACGTCCTGTAAGTGCCCTCTATCTACTGCTGTCCTCGTCACAGCAGATCTCAAGGTTTACTGAACGAGCGAGCGAGTGGGGCATCCACGGGGAGAGCGAGTGAGGGACAGCCTGAGGCCTTGGACACCGGGCAGGGCCTCCCTACGAGACACGAGGGGACCAGCTCTCTCCCGGTGGGGATGTCGGTGACAAACTCATTTTCCCTGAGAGTCTCCTGCACCATCTCATCTTTGTCCTCTTCCCGAGTGCCGAGTCTGTCCCCGCTCGCTCTGCCCTCCACGCTGAACGGAACCAGGACAACTCAACAGGGATCCTAAGCATCACGGGGACCTGCACCTGCTCTGGAGAGGGGAAGCAGATGTGGGAGACATCAGGACAAATTCGCCTGTCGCTCCTCTGCTCAACAGCCTTCGGGGGCTCCCCACTGCCTTCCAGGGAAGGGTCTGGGCAACCTCTTCCAGATAGACCCTCAGCTCCGTGGGGACCAGTCTCCTGTACCTCGGCATAAACCCACGGCTCTGGGACCCTCTCCACCCCTCCCTGCTCTCGCAATCCTGCCGGCATCTGAGGCAGCGTGGTCACCCAGCCCTGCAGCTCCCTCGCGGGCTCTCAAGGCTGGCGCTCTGAGTCTTCAGATGGACTGCGAGCTGGCAGTGGGCAGGGCTGGCCTTCCACTCCAGGGTGACGCCCCTCCGGCCTGCCCAGACCCGGGCACAGAACGGGAGCTCAGGATGGTCCACGAGCAGTGCTCTTGCTTTGTTAAAATGTGGCATCCAGACTCTTCTCGCCCACCTGGCTCCTGCCTGTTCACACTTGGCTTAATTATTTTAATATGATTTGATAGAGGTCAGAAGTTGATTTACATCTAATGACAATTTTCATAAATACAACCTGATATCTATTTGTGTTGAGTCAATAGTCAATACTTATTTTCCTCACATCCTATTTACATCTTTTTTTCATAAAACTATTCAGAAAAGTGACTCAAGATGCCCCACAGCTTGACCACATAATTCTGGAGCCAGGTCTCTCTTGACTGTTAGCAAAGAACCAGCTGGCTGCCGGGGAGCGGAGGTGGCAACACGGAGGTCCCCGTGCAGAAGCCAAGGGACACAGTGCAGTCAGCTATCATAAAGAGGCACGAGACCCTTCATTCAGTAGATGCCTGCTGTGGGTCTCCGTGTGCTGGGACTGCCCTGGGCACCGGACAAGGCAGTGAGCAGAACGTTGCAGTAAAATAATAATAATGACAATTGTAGCTTCATTCACTACTTACGATGAGCAGGGCATGTGCCAAGCACTTTTCGTGAATCATCTCATTTAATTCCTTCACTGCTCTTGTGAGGCGGGGGCGGACATCCATTTTTACAGGAGAGAAAAGAGGCTCACGGAGGTCACGTTACGGGCCCAAGGTCTCACAATCAGTGATTCCATGCACCAATAGATGCCAATCGACCACACCCCTCGCCCCCAGTATTTCTCCTAGTGGCTTCACTTCTGAATCACAAGATCAGAGGGGCTTGCTCTGACCTGGCAAAAGTGACTGACGCAGCTAAGATTCCCATGGGAGGGGAGGTCCCACCACAAAGCCAGATTCTCCTGCTGTTATGGAGCTGGTGATAGAGGTATGCAGGTCGCTGTGGTCGTCCTGGCAGCGGTCACATCCCCTGAGGATGTTCTTAGGAGGAGGATGGTGGAGTTCTCTCGTTGGGAAGACGACAGTAGGGACGTAATCAGACCAAGTCAAGCACCGTGAGCTGTTCACCTGGGAACCTGGTGAGGAGCCCCCTTGCCTGAGCTTAGAAAACATGAGTAGTCGGACCCTTCCGAGACTCAAGGATGCGCACAAGCCTGGGCGGATCCGGTCAGCCCCAGAGACCGGCCACATGCTCAGCTCAGGGACCAGTCGGCAGCCCCACCATGTGGCGATGAGGAGCAATGGCAGCAGCAGGTGGATGAAATTCCAGGTGCTGACGTCAGGGACACAAAGTTCCTCTTCCTGGAGACCCTCAGCAAAGTGACACCATGTATGAGCCCCGGTCTGTCTAATGGTGCAGAATCAGTGTGTGCCCCCAGCATCAGCTCCTCGCTGTTGCGTACCGGCAGAGGCTCTAGCCGTCCACAGCCACCCAGGATGGCACGTTATTATAGCTGCTTGTTGATGGCTTCACGAGCATCATCTGCCAACCCCTGTCCTGGCCCTCCAGGTGGCCAGGGGTCAGCCAGCTCCAGCTCCCCCCTTCCCCATCCCTACACTCTTCACGGTGGCCGACAGGCGGCCGGAGAGCCCTGTCCCCAGAGCTCTTCCTGACCCCACCTCCCTCCCCAGGTGGTAAACTGTAATCGCAAGGATTCCCATCCTATACCTCATCTTTGAGACACACAGCACCTGCTCAGTGAGCATTTGTTGATTGACAATGGGAAGCCCTGGGCAGGGCTGAACCGTCACCTATCAAGCAGAAGGAGACACGAACCTCGAACAGGCTGGACCCTCTAAGGAGCAGACGCTGTGATTCTACCTCCGTAGCTTCTCTCACTGTCTTCACTGGGGCCGGAGCCAGAGGAGGGGGTCTGAGGTCAGCACCCTCTGAACCCAGGACCCACAGCTCCAGGGGCAGCTTCCGGGCCAGTGAGTCATGGGCCTCTGCTCCTCCCGCCACCCCGAGAGATGCCTGCAGTGGACCCGTCCCTGAGGGCGCCTTCTGGCTCCTGAATCAGACGCCTGCCTGCCCGAGCCTCCCCTCCCCCTGCTCCCAAAACTGGGAGAGTTTGTATGGAAACCAAGGACTGGAAATGACAGACTGATCCGCCTCACGGGGGGCTGTCTCCCCCCTCCCCACGCCTTCAGGCAAAGTGGTCGCCAGAACTTCCCCCAAAGGCTCTGAGGTCAACACTCTGGGGATGGGCCCCCTTCTTCCCCTGCTCGGAGCCCACGGACGCACCAGCATCTCCGATAAAGCCCTGCCCTGAGGAAGCGGTTTGCCTTTGACCCAGAGATTCCCACGTGGACCTCAGGACGCTTTGTTTTTTAGTCTCAAGCCTGCTAACATCAAATAGACCACAATTCAGAGAATTTCACCTTAAAATCTCCAGGATAAATAAGCCCTTTTTCTTTTTTTAACAAGAAACGTCCCAGCCCACCCGCCGGGAGTCTGTCTTCTAGCCTGTAGGTATTTCTAGGATGACCCGCCGCTCCTCCCAGGTACACATTCAGCTCCCCAAACGCGCGCTCAACATAAACCGTCCTTTCAGAATCTCGATGATGCGACACCGGACCTGACCGAGCGGAGGGGGCAGCCAGGCCAGCCACCACGAGCCCACAGAGTGCCTTTGGGGGTCAGCAAGCGATGGTGCGTCCCCTGGGCTGCTGTGGGCTGACCCTGCCCCAGAGCCCCTCAGCCCCTCGCCGCCCTCAGCGCCGCCCTTCCTGCCCCGGGGTCCGGGAAGCTCTGTTGCTCCCAGGCAGCCCGACCGCAGCCACTTTCCCCAAGAGAAGGGCGTGGCAGAGCTGTGCCAGGTGCCCAAATGTGGCATCACTTCCCTGAGGGTCTCCAAGAAGAGGAGGAGGGGGACCAAGGACGGCTAGCGTGGGGCAGCACCTTCGGAGGTCTGCTGCTCCGCTCTCTTGTCTTGTGGAAC